GGGGGGGTATTTCGAGGTTTGACTGTAGTACGTTTAGCGTGGGTGAACATTTATAAATTTGTCCTTCAACATATCAAGTGAAATCAATAGAGCAAGCGACCACGGGGTTGAAGAATGCGACGGGCGAGGTTCGCTGACCCATGGGGATCGACAGGTGATCACTCTAACTTCTAACTTATGAAGACTTGCTATATTATATCGCATAACGAGGTTCGGCGGTTTACTTATGTCCTTGTGGTGGACAGTGAGGTTCGGGGAGAATTAAAAGTACGTTTCGAAAATGTGTACGGTAGTTTGAATCTTGATCTAAGTTACATACAGTGTACGAGTATTGCGGTACATTTGTGTCTGGAATCGTTTGGCTTTTGGTGAAACAAAATTAGAAAATAAGTTTTAGACAATTGAGACCCTCGACTTTGTCAATCGGCTGTTTTATTAAAGTCTAGTAAGTCGCAGTGCATCGAAAACTCCCGCTCCCAACACATAGGAAGAAAAGGGATTAAAATGAAGTTGTATTGTTGTTGTCGTTGTTTTGTTGTTGTCGTTGTTTTGGGGGGTTGGATCGATCTATTTGTTTTTATTTTCTGATTGTGTGTGTGTGCTTGGGGGGGGGCACTTTGATTTTCATGAATAACAACAATACCCTCAGTCAATATATATATATAGATCTAATATTGTACGTTATGTATACATGAAAGTTAATACTAATACTATGCTATTACTATAGATCTACCTCGTATTCAACGAATTTTTCTTCTTATTCCTATTCTATCGTATGTTATTTGTTGTTGTTGTTTTGTTTTTTTTCTTCTTCTCTTTACCCCGATCCATCTCCCAGCACTAATTTCTTCTCCGCTCCCATTTTTGTCTCTTCTAATGTCTTTTTTTTCATGTTCTATCTTCTTCTTGTCTTTTCTTCTCCACTCCATCTTCTTTCGGTTTCATTTTTTTAAAATTGCCCTCTCCAGTTTCCTTTTCTTCTTTTTTTTTAAAATTTGCCACTCCATCGAATTTTTTAGTTTATTAATTTTTTAATGTAATTTTTTATATATTTTTTTTTACAAATTCCACTCCAGCTTCTTCCTTTTCCCTCTTGGGTTCAGTTTCTTTATACTTTTCGTGTTTTTTCTCCCGTTTCTAATCTAACTTCTTATGTATTAATCTATAGATCTAGTAGATCTAGTTTTTGTACAGCCAACCAACTTTTTTAAATCTGTTATCTACTTCTATGTTGTTTTTTTCTTTTTAAATCCAATTCGTTTTCTGTTCTTTTCTTCTGCACTCCAGCATCTCATATTTTTTTCTTCAGCACTACAGCTTTTCTTTTCTTTTTTTTTTTCGCACACCAGCTTCTTAGTAATCTTGGGCTTCAACTTCTTTCCCAATTTTTTTCTTCACTTCACTACAGCTTCTTCTTTTTGTAGTTTTTCTTCTACTTCTACATTCATTTTTTTTCTCCTTCTCCGCTCCAACTCCTTAAATTTTTCCCCACTTCTTTCCCTCCGCCCATCTTCATCCGTTCGTTTTTCTTTTTAACTCGAAGGTCTTCATCCAAGTCTTGTCGTCTCTTAGTCTTAACTATTCTTATTCAGTCTCTTTCTTCTTTTTTTTCACCCCCCCCCACCCAGATCCAACTTGCTTTTCTCTTTTGTTTTCGATTTTAGTTTAGTTTTAGTACCCGGTACTAGATTTACTTCCATTCGGCTCCTTGAAATTCATCTTAGAATTCTATTCTTCTTCTTTTGTTATTTTTCTTTTCTGCTCCAAATTCCGTTGTGGGTTTTTTTTTCCAGCTACTTCTTTTATATATACAATCAAGCTGCTACAGAAACGCCAAGAAGAGGAAGCAACCAGTCACCAATCTTGGGTGACGGCGACGCCCCTGGTGGAGACAATTATTATGAAACCTTGTGATAAAAATCGACAGGAAGTCACCAAGCGGGCAAGTCATCTGTCCAACAAGATCCAAAGATAAGAACACGGAGAGTCAGAACGTTGTTTGAAACAGTTGAAGTTTTTTTTGGGTTTTTTTTGTTTTGTTTTTGGTAGCAAAGGAAGAGCAGATCTACAGCATAGACTTGCAGAAACAAGGTGAATTCAGAAAGGTCAGAGAAAACTTTCAACGGGAGATGTTCTTATACTCTGGCCACCCAGATGAAAAAGTAAGGCGTGAAGAAAGTGTGGCATGATCTATGCTCTCAAAGAAAGCGGAAACAGTGAAAGCGTTGATCGCGTGGGAGGGACATGGACCCAGAATAATGTCGGCATCCTTCCCTACATGAACAAGAAACAGGAAAACAGACCTAAGAGCCATCCAATGCTACATCCCCCAACAGACAATAAGGAGGATGACACAAAGGATCAGTTTTACAACCAACTACAGAAGATACTGTACGAATATCCAGCCAAAGATATCAATTATATATATATATATATATATATATATATATATATATATATATATATATATATATATATATATATATATATATATATATATATATATATATAATTACATGTATACCTTTAAGGGTGATTTAAATGCAAAGACCGGAAAAGATAACACAGGTTGTAAGGCAACTAAAGAGGAGATCATGGGAAGTCACGGAATAGAAGAGAACAAGGGCAAACGGCTGAAGGACGTGTGCAGGTAACAGAATGGTCATATCACAGGAGGAAAGTGGGTTCAGACGAGAACCTCAAGCTAAGTAAGGCTGTCATGAAGGTTGGGCGCATCAATGGAAGCCAGGAAAAGAAGAGCAAATGCCCCACACAGTTTCTTACCAGTGGAAACACGCAAGAGAGGTTCAAATTGGAATTACTCAAATGATTTCAATCTTTGTCAAAGCTGATTGAAGAGAAGCAGGTAGGAGTCCAAGAGTACTGGTATTAGGCATCCATCAAAGAACTGTTCAGTAGAATTTGTGTGGAAGAAATTAGAATCAGAGAGAGAAAAGGAACACAGATTATATCTCTAGAGAGACAATGGACAAAACACAGGAGGAAAAAGAGAAATGCTTAGCGGCGTGCAAAACCCGCGAGCCAAGGGAGCTGCACAAGAAGAAGAATGTACTGTATATATATATATATATATACAAGTCAACATATAAGTGACACAAAAGGGCTAAAAGCAGACTAGTCCACATTCATAGAGAAGAGATAGCGAAAGTGACAGAACAGGTACTAACCTCCGGTAACCTCAACAAAAGAATCAATAATGCAAACAAGAAACTATGTGGGAGGTATACATAATATATCAAACCGGAACTTCCTGTGAAATCTGTCCACATGTTTTTATGCGCCTCGCATAATTTAGCAAAATTTGATTATTTTTAAAATAATTTCTAATTTTTTTTCCTTATCATTCTTTGTTAGAATTTACAGAATCGCACAATTTCACATTTTTGGGCTGTTTCCATAATTTCAAAATTTGTCTTGCATAAAACGACGGGGACAGGGAAATGGTATAGGTTTAACTAACGCCCCTATCAACACTATTAGGTTATTCAAGGGCCGATAGGACCGAGCCAAAATACAAAATTAATGAAAGCCTTTGCCAAAGACTCAACGTCGGACCAAGCTTAGGCTCGAACCCCTAAACCCGGAATCTCGCGATTAAATGTTCCGGTAGTCTGGCTAGGAATTACCGTAAAAGACAAGAATGGGAAAAGTCTACAGGGAAAGGAAACACACTAAACAGCTGGTCGAAACACTTCCGGGAACTTAACAGACCAGCCCCAAAGCAACAATCAGATCGTCCGAGGCAGAGACTTAGGCTATAAATTGTGACCTTCAAACAAAATGAAAAGAAATTGCTGATGCAATCAGACAGCAAAGGAGTGGAAAGGCAGCGTGTCCTGACTACATACCGCCCGAGGCAATAAACGCTGACCTGCGTACATCAGTAGAATAGATATCCTACACCGGGTATTATTTGAGAAGATACGGACTACAACTACAAAAGAATGTTCCCATGAATGGAAAGAAGGCCACCTTATAACTTATTGAGCTCCCGAAGAAGGGTAATCTGTGTTATAGTGGGAATTACAGGAGAATAACACTTCTGTTGAATCAGGAAAAATCTTCCACAGAATTCTTTTGGAGTGCATAAAATATTAAAAAAAGAAATTGTGGCGAGGCGTACATCTCAGTCTCAGCCCAGAGAAAATCAGGCAGGTTTCACTTTCAAATGAGACCGCTCATCATGTGTCGACCAGACTGTGACCTTGAGAATTATTGTTGAACAATCTTCGGAACGGAACTCTGCCCCATTAGTCAATTTTGTAGACTATGACTATGAGAAAGTATTCTACAGCAAAGACAGTATAATACTATGGAAGTATTGCAACATTATTGAATATCATTAAAATGGGTGAGGTTGAGCTGTGTCATCCATAACAGGCAGTTCACTAAAAGCTTCAAGGTTCAGATGGGGTGAAACAGGGATGCTTACTGTCACCATTCCTTTTCAACTTACCATTGACTATGTAATGAAATCAGCAACAGAGACAAAGGGCCAGGGAATAAAGTGGACACTATGGTCTCAGTTTGTGGAGGATCTAGACTTTGTCGACGACCTGGCATTGCTACCGCACAGGCACCAGGGGAAAGACCTAGGACCTGGTAAGAAGGGTCTCGCAGAATTTAGACCTGAAGGTGCACCCAGGAAGCACAAAAGCTGTTAAGTAAGATCAACATAAGTGTAAAAGTAGACATCAAGATCAGCTAGGCGCCCATTGGAGGAAGTAACCTCTTTTACATATAATATGTATATTATATGTACATCTTGGAAGTGTCATCCTATGATTATGATCATGATACGGGAGGAACAGTACATCGGGTGTCAAGACTAGTACATGTACCATGATCGGAAAAGTAAAGGCAACAGTCACAGTCTGGCTGGAGATCGGGAATATCCTTTTTTTTTTTCATGCATTTTTTCTTCTCCGCTCCAGTCTCATTTCTATTTCCATACATTGTATTGTCTTTTCTTCTCCGGTTCTGATTCTTCCTCCATGTTTTCTCCTCCTTTTCAAATTCAACTTCTTCACCCATCTTTTTTTTCTCCACGCGTGCGTCTTGTTTTTCTTATTGTATATTCTCTCCAACTTCTATATTTTCTTCTCCCCAGTTCAGCTTCTTTTTTTATTCTACATCATGTATTCTTTTAATCTTCATTTCACCTTCTTCTCATTCTTATTTTTTGGGGGTCATCTTCATTCCAGCTCATGCTATTCTTTCCTTCGTCAATTCAGCTTCTCTTCATTCCATTCTTTTCTTCTCCATTTCAGATTCTTTTTACAGGTACTTTATTCTTCTCTTCTTTATTCCAGCTTCTTTTCATAATTTCCCTTTTTCTTCATTCCACTCAGTTTGTTCTCATATTTACATAGATCTAATTATTTTCTTCTTTATTCTTGATTCTTTTTGTACATGCATTCTGTCCATTTTTTTCTTCTTCATTCCAGCCTCCTCTGGCTGTGTTCTTCTTTCTCCCCTCCAGCTTATTCTATTCTTTTCATCTCATTCTCAACTGAGATTCCATTTACAGATGAACGAGAAGAAGAACCTCATTTTCTTTTTTCCTTATCCGCTACAACATGTATCTTTACATCTATCAGCCCCAGCTGCTTCTTACAGTTACAGTGTAGTCTGTTCTTTTCTCAACTCCATCATCGTATTCTGCTCTTTTCTTCTTTTTTCCTTTTTTTACTCTGCAACTTTGCTCCTCGGCTCCAGCTTCTTGCTACCGTATATTTTTTTTCTTGTTCATGATACCAATACCAGTCAGTACATGCACCAGTCTCTCTTCTATTCTATTCTTTTCCTTCTCCACTCCAGCTTCAAACCGTCTTATTTGATTGTTTTTTGTTGTTTTCTCTTCACCTGCTTTTTTCAAAACCTCTTTTCTTCTTCCTACCAGCTTCAGTTCATTCCATTCACAGCTTGTCCTTCATTTTTTGTCCTCTTCAGCACATTTTTTAAAATACTTTTTTCATACAAGCGTTTTCTACAAAACGTGCTTTTTTTTCTTTCTCCTTGCACATTCGTTGGGGGCAATTAGTACGTTACTTAGACTTAGTACATGTAGGCTACAACAGTACAAGAACGCTACTAAAACTATAGTGCACTACCAACTTCTTAGTTTTAGTTTTAGTAGTAGGAGTTTTACGGCACTTTCAACACAATAAGGTCATGAAAGTGCCGAAGATAAGAGGTTATACAAGAGAGTAATAAACACGGAAAAAAGAAGGACGGGAGATCAGATAAGGACAATGGGTTTTTGATAGGAAAGGAGCAAACCACATCAGAGCACTCACCAACCACCCACTTTAGCTGCTTCAAATGTACATGATATAGTACATGTAACATGTATACGGTAGGCCTTTATTTTACACAGTATTTCTTATAACTAGATGTACATGTGTCTACAGCTGCCACGTAGTTGGTTATGACTTGGCTGTCTGAAAAGACCACCTTCACTTGGAGGTTCGACCAAATTGAATTCCCCGTGGGGTCCGACATTCTCACGTCCTTCTTAGATTAGTGGGGGGGAGGGGGGCTAACAACACATTCCTGTACAGGTGGTTTTAAAAGCCAACAGTAAGTATTTGTTGCTTCACAGGCGAACAAGATTACTTTAGTGGACCGTTACTAGTTAGTAACTAAACAAGTAACTGCTGTTATTTTGGAACAGCTTGAAAGTAGAAAAGCAACTTTCCTTTAATAGACAACCTAGAGATCTCTACATAATGTACTGTTGTTACATAGAATAGAATGACTCTCTCTTCCCACCCACCCACACACACACACACACACAATGATCGTCCAAAAGAAAATGATACAACAAAAGCGTCAGCAAATAAGTCTACTAAAAAGTATTTTTGTTTATTTTTGTTTAGTAGGAGTTATATATATTCGTTTCCCTGTCTTCATCAACCTTCTTTCTACCTGCGTCTGTAGTCATGGTGTAGAGGTTAAGTGCCTCGCCGTTGCATGTAGGCTCCTACGTGACCGGAGTTCATTTCCCTTGTGGGGAGAGTTTATGTCTCTGGTCTTTTTGCTGAAGAAATGATGTACGGTATCCCTATCTGCCTGGGTTGGTCCCACAGGTGGGGTCGAAACCCGCCTCCTAAATTACCTAAACTAGATTTTTTTTTTTTAAACTTTCTCCTCTTCATCCCCCCCCCCCCCCCCCCCCCCCCAATTTTTTTTTTTCCCTTTTTGGGGCTGGCTGTTGTGTTTTCCCCCTAAAAAATGTCTTCATTTCCTCTTTTCCACCATCTTCATTTATGACTCTTCACCAAAACACTTTTTCTTCTTTTTCTCCTCCACCCGTTCTTTTTCTTCCTCCTCCTCCTCAGCCAAAATAGCTTCCTCCTGACAAATACCTTCATTCTTCTCCATCATCGCTTCCTCTTTTCCGCCATCTTCTTCATTTTTTGACTCTTCACCAAAGCAATTTTTCTTTTTCTACTCCACCCGTTCTTTTTTTTCTTCCTCCTTCTCCTCATCAGCCAAATCTCTTCCTTTTTTCTCTTTCGTGTTCTCTTCTTCCCATTCCCCCTCCTCCTCCTTGCAACCTGCTTTTTGCCTCTTCAGTTTTTCTTAATTCCTCCTTCTTCTGCCTTCACTACCCTCAACTTTTCTCTCTTTCCTCTTCTTCTTCTCCTCTATTTTCTTCTCATATATAATCTCTCCAACAGTCAACACATGAATGCATCATGTTTTATTTTCAGTAATCATTATAATATGACCTGGAAATTGGGAAAAAAAACAAAATGCAGAAAAAGAAACACTACAGAAAAGACCACACATGTGTATTCAGTTTATAAATGTGCATGTGTGTACTATTCCACTTTTGGAGAAGAACAAGGGTCGGAAGTTGGAACGGACCTCATGCTGGACTCAATTCACAGTTCTAATATAATTTTTGTCTATTCGGTCTCGAGTCCGAACAGTCACGTCGTTCCTATATTTTATAAGAGGTGGCTATGAAAGAATCCTGAAAGTTTTGGATCCTGTGGAAACGCGCGCACAGAGACTCAAAATTTACTGATTATATTGTACATCTTGTTCAGAATTACCATACACTCTTTTTTTAATACATCACCACAATCGGCCTGATGTCAAGCAAAATCCAGAAAATTTCAGCAGAATATATTCAATAGGGGAAAATCAGCACTTTTGAGTTATACTCAGGCATCATATATATGAATCAACTGTATCGCTTTTTCTTCCAAATGTTTCCCCAGTGGATGCAAAATTTGTACGACTCCGCGAGCAATATTGTACTTCTTTTACAGAATTAGAGGAAGGGGTGAGGGGAGTTTCATCCCAATTTGCAAAACTAACTGAAACTTGAAACTGAAAAAGAATTTATCGGTCTTTACAACAATGCAGAGGCTGATTCTATGTTATTTCCACACAACAAAATAAGAATCGATTTTTAAAATAAATTTGTCCAGAAAGATATGCCTTGAAGTTTACAAGTAATGCTCAAAAACTTTCTCCACCGATCAAATGAGCTGGAAAAATCCTCACGATGCCCCCCCCCAAGTTTCTGTGCATCCAAGGCAAAGAATAACATCCCCCTAAGTGATGTAAGCAAACAAGCTATACTGAGTTTTGGCCCTAACATCGATACCACTACAAGGAACTGACCAACGTCTCAATGTTGACAGCCTGAAAGCATGCTAGAACCTTCATATTTTCCATTTTGTGTTTTTAGCCCCGGATTTGGTTTCACGCAAGAAAATGCTACGTAAAAATGAGCAACAAATCAGCGGTGTGGTATCTGGTGCAATTAGCGGCACATCAGTGGGACAGGATAGTTTACTGTCAAGAAGTAAATATCTGGAGAGAAAACCTACAGCTTAACTCACTCACTGCAGGGTAACCGAGGAATGCCAGGCTTTTGGGACCATTTTCAAAACCTTACTGTGAACTTATTATTTTGTGTACAGCATTGAACTTTTCCACAAACAATGACATTGAAACATACTCAACAAAAAAAAAATAATTTTTGGTGATACCTTTACCGGGTGAAATTTTATGAGTTTGTGAATATGTGGCAAAATCGAGAAAAAAAACTTCGGGCCCCTGCGGGGATTCGAACCCACGACCTTATGGTTGCGAGTCCAAGAGCCTGACCACTAGGCCACCGACGCCACGAATGGGCCGATCAATTCAATTGTTCCGACCTCGTTGAGATGCCGTCACCATCGTAACTGAGCGTAGTTGTTTTTAGTTCGTTTCGGGTGGGTTCGAAAAAGCTCGATTTTTAAGTAACTTATTCAAGGGAAGCTACTGCAACAACAATACGGAATCGAAACTAAACTGGCTTATGTCGCCTACTTCCGACTGCCAAGCCCGAAACATGTCGGGAATGTTTGAAAAAAAGTAATGTTTTAAAAACGCACCCGATGGGTTTCGGGTTCAGCAGGCAGCGGTCTACGCGGATCACTCGACAGGGTTCGGGCATGGCAGTGAGTGAGTTAAGACAGAAACGTCTGCGCTGTTGCTAATATGTCAAGGTTACATGTAGGACATTCAAAAACTGGCTCTGAGCACACCTTGCACATAATAAAATGTCCACATGGGAGAAAAGTAATGTCTCTGGGTCTTGTTTTGCACTCGTTACATTTCCTAGACATATCCAGAATCTCATGCTCCCTTTGAAGAGCCAAAAGAACATTTTGCAAAAGCCACCGTTCTTTCTGTTCCGGCTGCATCTGACCGGTCCTTGCATTCTCGCCATTAGGTACCTGATTACTCTCCGAACCACGATATTCCACTTCACTATCCGTTTCAATATCACTAGGCGTGTCATAGCCCAATCCACTGTCTACCTGACCAGTTGTGTCGGGCACAGGAAGAGTGGTAGTCCTGTGCGATGATGACATATTTGACTTATGGACAGGTTTATGTTGTTTGCGAGTTCTAGAATTGCCGGAGCGACCCAAACAACTTGTATTTGCACCATCTGGAATGTCAAACCTATCCACAACATCCTGACCCCCACTGACTGAGCCGTCTACACTATCTTCATCATTAAAGTTCCCACTATCATTATTTTCAGTGGCACCAGCCACAGGATTGTTGTGTGCATTTGAATGATGCCCACCACCTCCTCCTGAAGCTGAAAAATTTCCACCTGACACTTCTGCTAGGCGCTCTGGAAAAGCCAGTTGCCCGTCTGTATATTTATCACATTCATCTATCAAAGCACTTGCTGAAATCTCCTTGCCAGTTCTGTGTTCATAAAAGTCTGCAATAAACTGGATTTGTATCTCACTCAAAGAAGTCTCTTCTGCCATAGCTAACACTCTGTATGAAAATCCTGACGTTTGTGGAGCATTCCATGTTTCAAAAAACCTGTCAGCCTTGTGATATGATAGAGTGGTGCTCCCACTAGAGGACGAAGCCATTTGACGCTTACCAGCAACGAAACTGTGAGATGCTGTAGTTTGAACTCTGTGAGAATATTCACCCCACCACAGCAGACCAGGGTTGCAACTCAAAGAACTTTGTAGTGTGTCCACCAAGCGAAGGAGAATCGTTCTGGACTTTGAGCTTCTCAAGTACACACGGACACTGCAGGTCAATGCTTCCCACGTACACCACCAGTACAACAGGAGATCTTTCCAATCTTGGAGACAAGTTATGGTAGCCACTACACACAGAAAGGATCTGTGGTAGGAAAAAACAAAACAAAAGGGGTTATAAAAACTTACATGATTATAAGTAAACACTGATCTGACATCGACAGTACAAACATGGTGGATTATAGTTATGCTTCACATAAAAACAATATTACTAATGCACAAGGTGAAGTGTTGGCATTCATCTCATTAAGTTCTCAAATAAATTTAAACGACTGATAATAAGTGTTACTATCTTTTGTGTTTGTTGACACACTCCATACCATAAGCACATTCAACAGGAACCTCTTCCCCTGTCCCAGTTGGTTTAACACTGATAAAGCAAGAACAACAATAATATTATTAACCGGTACAGAATTATACACACATCAGATTGATATGAATGTAATACTGTAGTTGTAGTGCTGTGGCATATTTTCATGGTATAGAGGGGGGGGGGGGGGGGATTAGGAACATACCCTCTTGGCTCAAACAACTTTGTAATTGAGTATTTTGAGTAATTAGTAAGCCCGATTATAATCAAGTTGAGTTAAATAAACATTCACAACCTCTTCCCCTGCCACCCCCCCCCCCTCCCATTTCAGAATTGTTTTCCTTTGCAAAGATAGAGATATAAGAATGTATTCATCCACATCTGTTATAACAGAATGGCCACGTGCATATCTGAGCCATGTTCATGTAATTTTTAAAGTGAAATGTGCAAAAATTAACCCCTTCGATGTCTTATGACGTAGGCCTACCACATATATGTCATGAAAATGCATAATTTTTTAGCTAGGTGCCGTATGTAAGTCATGGAAGTTAACAAAATTTGCCGCTCTTGGTTGCCTATTAGACGTAACATGCACTGCACGCAAATCACCTTGCTCTAATTTTTCTGTTCGGAATTAAATAGCCACAAGCACTGCATGGATTTGTATTCGGGTATAAAAGAGGCACACTGGTACCATATTTGCTAGTATTACTTACTGTTAGTCTTGAAAGCAATTGATAAACACAGATCTAGGCTTTTGTGAGTGGCCATGCGCCCTTGCAAAACGTAAACACAAAAATGACTTTCAAAAGGTAAAAGAAAATCACTTTTTGGCTTAGATATTTGCAAGTCGTCATAATTTTATATAAGTGGGGGGGGATAGACAATGAGAGGTGTGAGAAAACTGACATGATCGTAGACCGGGATCTGAAACATCATAATATGTCACGATTGAGCTAGATCTAAACCACGTGTCCATTAACACTGAGATATGAGACTGCTGTCCTTTGTAACAAGCTCAGCTGAAAATCAGTGCCGACAGTTAGAACGCATACCCGCTGGCCAAGAAATGCGAAAGGGTTAGTTATTATCTGGGTACTGAGTTTACAACTTTATTTCTTTCATTTTCAATTTCATTGCCCAAAATAACCTAACACTCCCATTCTGTCCATAAATCTAGTAATTAAAATAATGTTAGTGTTCAATATTTCAGTTCCGTTTCCCCTTCTAATTTTTGATTCCTCTAGATCTAAAATATAGTCTATTGAAAGATATTGTGTCATCTTTGCCTTTTGGTAAAAGTAAAACTGAAACTACACAATCCAATGAAGGAGCAGGAGTAGGATGTATAGGCACAAACGGATAGTAAGAGAACGTTAGGAGTACGCCAATGGCCAATATTTATAGAAACAGCCATCTTGTTTGACCTATTCTTTAACATTATAATGCAATAACGAGCATTATCATAACGGTCAACCGGTCATCTCGTCACACCCCAATTATGTATGACGAAATGACTTCGCTTATATTATTCTCCAAAGTTGTTGTGCTAGTAGAGTTTTGAAGGATCAGCTTAAAGCTTTTTTTGAAGTCATTGAAGTTATATATAAATTATGGTAAATTTTTACGCACCCACACACAAGCATTGATTTGAGGGCTAAACTGCCATAATTTTTGCTGCAGAACACATGTATGGTCACTAAAACCCTTGCAAATCAATTGTTTTTTAAAGTTAATATCAATCCTAATTGCCAAAACATCAAATCATTGTGAAATTAAGCGGGGGGCATGCCCCCCTGAAATCCCCCAGATTCTTTTTAGGTCCCCCATGATGATGTTGTTAAATTTACCATTTTCAAACATCAACAACTCAAAAACTATTGATTTGCGGCAAAAATGAAGGCCATATTTGAGTTCAGCATGCAAAATACTACTAGAATAGAAGTAGACAGTTAGTTAGTGTGTGTGTGGCTTTGATTTAGCATTAATTATAATATTGTTGGAAGAGGCTAGCCGTACTTAATGACGGCTAGACTTTTTGTCAATTGCCACCGCACCGAGTGAAGCGGTGTCAAGTCTGAAAACAACACTATCTTTAGCATTATACTTATATACATGTGTGTCTAATGGGTCAATTTGTTCTCAACTAATTTCATTGGACGAGCATCTAGTCTAGAGCTACGGTACCAACTTGGCGTGTTTTTTTCAAAGAGACATAGTCTAGATCTAGGCTAGCCTTAGCCTACACTTTGGTGTAGAACCAACACAGGTAATTCTAGAAGTAGAAGGTCACAAACGCACTCAAAATCAAGCAGAAATTCAAGTTATAATAAATATCGGGGAACCTAAATCGGGGGACGGGGGTCAGGAAAAGACACACACACACACACACAAAGAGGGACAGAGAGGCGAACGCACAACAACGAGCACTCGAGCACAATAAGTTATAAGCTAGATCTACCCACCAACGCAAAAGAGCTCCAATTTACTCGGTGGCAATTGACAAAAAGTCAATTTTTGTCAATTGCCACCGCGTCACTCGGTGGCAATTGACACTACCTTATAAATATCGGCCAATGGCGTACTCCTAACGTTCTCTATCAGAACAAATAGATCTAGATATAGATTTCTAGATCTAGATATCTAGAAAATCTAGATATCTAGATCTAGATCTCTAGATCTAGAATAGATCTAGATCTAGATCTAGAGGCGCTTTTTCGGTAGTTCCCACCCCCCTTATTTGATAGAGCCTGACCTACATCTAGATCTATATATACGTTTGATTCGCGGCAAGCTAAGATGTCAAACCTAACAACTGCAAAACATTAAATTGTGGTAAAATTCAGGGGGGCATGCCCCTCTGAAACCCCCCACCTTGTTTTTATTAGGTCAGGGGGGCAAGCCCCCCCTGAAACCCCCCTACTCTTGGGGCCAAAACCGGCGAATAACAAATGCGGGGTGGGAACTACCGAAAAAGCGCCGATCTAGATCTAGAATCTAGACTAGATCTAGATCTAGATTTAGATTCTCTAGATCTAGAATCTAGATCTAGACTCTAGATCTAGAATCTAGATCTAGTCGTCATTAGAACAAGGCCATCTCTATTCTCACCCGGAGTGAGAATAGTGCAGGCGAGTCTTGTGGCTATTCTCACCCGGTGCGCGTTCACCAAATTTTGCGTTCACCCTAAACCACAGAATTCTACACTGTGATAACAGTAACAGAAAAATTGTAGAATTCTGTGCCGTGAACAAACGTTCCATTAGAACTGTAGCCTACTTAAAGCGTACAATTTTGTCTGTGGGCAGTGGAGAGAGAGAGAGAGAGAGAGAGAGAGAGAGAGAGAGAGAGAGAGAGAGAGAGAGAGAGAGAGAGAGAGAGAGAGAGAAAGAGAGAGGAGTAGCCTAGCGCGAGAATTTGAGAATTTCCGAGCAAAACAAAATGGCGACCCGCGTAGTTCGGCTCGATTCGAAAAGTTAAATAGCCGTAGCATCTTTGTAGACAAAAAAATTAATTTACTTTTGTGTTTTAACATCATTTTTTAACTCTGTTTTGGTCAATTTGATCGTCCACACCGATAGACAGTATTCAGAATGAGACAGAGAGAGAGAGAAGAGGGGAGGAGTTGATCTTGCGAGAACTTCCGGGCGGGTGAGAATAGCCACTTTCTTAGAAAACATATGGATGTAGAACCATGAATACATAAACATTCTGTCATTACCCCCTTACTCGCCCCAGATCTGCTTGTTTGTCTTTTCCAATCTTACAGTTTCGGAGCTGGTCTGGACAGGCTGAAACGGAAGTACGCAGTGCTGTTGGCTTGGCCTGACCGTCAGCCATCAACGCAGTCAGTACGCAGTAGAAAGAAATTACGCATTACGCACATCTGATTGGCCAGGTGGCAAACATACCCTAACGCTCAATGCCAAAACTATTAAGTTTCATGGTCAAATATCAAAGTGCTTTTACCATTGGTTTCGATACATAATATTTCACAACGTAACACAGTAATGTCTATGAGGAGAATGTTTACAGTTAGTTAGATTCATGTTATATTAGAGTGTTTCATTGTTGTAAAGTCTTTCTGTTTATTTAAAGGAAGCCCCTATTATTTATACAGTTTGTTTTTATCAAACTCAGACGTTGACCAGATGACAAGGACATGTGGGTACTTAAGGGAGGCATTGCGCTGCCAAGAGCAAAATGCTCGCAGCTAAAGGGATTTGAAAACAACAACAACAACAACGTCAAATCCTAGATCTATTGCAATGAAAGGGCAAGCAAATAATGAAGAAGTCGATACTTTATGGGTTTTAGAGTCGTTCGTTTTTTAATGCTCTGACTTTTTGTTTTATCATCCACTTATCCACGTATTCTATTTAGCCTACACTAACAGCTATTGACCGCACCGATAACACCAGTATAGATACGCTTAAATATAATTAAAATTCTACAAAGTGTGAGTCACCTTTAAGTGGTCGCCACAGCTTTCTTCAATATTGCGTTTGTTTGGTCTAGGAGTATACAGGATCTTTGCCGACCCCAAAGATCCTACTACAAACATATTATGATGGTTCACTTTGCCAAATAAAACGTCAGCGGGAGTACGTGGCGCCACCGTGATTTTGAGGACGTTCTTTTAATGCTCGAAGAGCAAGTGGTCTAAGCCTATAATATTATGAATTATTATATTCTTATAGTGTAGGATCTTTGAAAGCAATTAGTCGAATAAGGGGAGCGATTTCAACCGAGGCAGCCTTCTGGATTACAACTGAAATTCGTGACGTATGCGAAATCGGATTTGGGGGGGGGGGGGTGCATTGCACCCTAAGCGAGGACCTTGTATTGGTAAAAGATTTGGATGATGTCTGTTGCTCACTTTTTTGGTTTACTGTTTGGATTGTGCTTTACGCAAAAGGTTACCTTCATTTATTTTTGAGCGACAATGCACGGCCTCACGGAAGTCAAAGTTCTTTTGATTGGTCCTAAGTGGCAAGTGGTCCGGGGGTAGCATCCGGGCATGTGTCTTATCTTCAGAAAGTTCATGCAGTCTCTAAACGGGAATTTCCGTCAGGCTATTTTAAGAATTCGTAGAGCTGCTGGTCGCTATCCCAGATTTAGGGGTTTTCCAGAAATGTTGACCTTCACAGGAGGTTATACAGTAACCAAAAGTGGGCTTTACCCTGCCTAGCCTATAGGAGAAGTTTGGTTTCTCTGGTGTGTATATATTTGTTTGGTTATGTACAGATAAAACAAAACAAACGGGCCGCCACCATCGAGAACGAGCGACGGTTTTTGTTGCAAGTTCATGTTTCTGAGTAAACAGGCGGGTTTATTATGATCTCACTTCCACAGATTCATGTATGGTCAGCGAACGGTTCTGTTGTGGGAAGGGCTAGGGGTCCAATGGATTATGCCGGTTTTCATGCCTCACCCATCTGCAGCTGAACATTAAATTTTGTTACTGAAAGGTCATTTTAGTTGAACAATGGGAGGGACTACCAACCTCATCTAAGTGCTGTCCAGCAAAAAAGTTGGAGAGGCTAACAATAACGTTAGTATTGTTACTATTCTAGGTGCATCATTTATGACGATCTCGCCCGCAGCATTGGGGATCAAACGAATGGCGCAACGCGTCGGGCGATGAGAGATTGGTTGATTAAAATACAGCGGTTGAGGTCACGTTGGACATGTTGTCTTCTGCAGTTTCATTATAATGCATATCAAAAAAAAAAGAAGAAAAAAAAAGAGAAAAAAAAGAAAGAAAAAACAAAAACAAAACAAAACAAAAACAAAAAACCCGCAAAAGTGAACGTGGAAGATGGTCATCGGTACAAGTGGTTGTCTTGAAAAGGTAGACGTTATTATAGCAAGTTCAACTGTGTATATTAGCGCACGCACGCGCCCGCACACACTCTCTCTCTCTCTCTCACACACACACACACACACACACACACACAGAGAGAGAGAGAGAGAGAGAGAGAGAGAGAGAGAGAGAGACAGACAGACAGACAGACACACACACACACACACACACACAGATGCAAAGACACACACACACACACACACACAAGATCAGGAAATTCTTTGCTTGGCTCTAGACTTACGAATTCACACAAATGTAAACTGACTACATATCTTCGCATAAGATCCCGGTGTTTAATATGCGAGCAAGCAAAAAATGCGGGATCTTATGCGAACGGGATTATCTTAGCCGATGCATCCGGGAGAGAATCCACGGGGAGTTGTGTGCGGGTCCACAATCTGTAAAATAGTCTCCCTTTACTCTTAAATGTACTGAAGTAACCCCTGGGAGAGTAGGGAGAGTTTATGACAAATGGGGAGCAAAGAATGGTGTTCTTTTGATCAGTGTTTTACGGCGCACGCTACTGCATAAGGACATATGAGCGCGCAGGACACACCAAACATTTTCAGTCGGTAGGAAATTTTGAATTTTGCGCAGGTGTCGGCCGAAGCCTACTCTTATCGATTTTAGACCACCAAGGGATCTTTAACGCGCGAAACTTGCACACCGGACTTCCGAAGTTTTTCTACCTTGTCCGAGAAGGCTAGGTGTAGATCTTTCCTACCAGAAGATCAGGGGTGCGGCTGAAAGATAGCACTAAGAATGAGCCAAGGAGTAGCAGTAGAAAGGCTGAAGAAAGAGTCAGGAGACCAGGGGAGGGGGCAAAGGGGGTATGAGGGGGTGAGGGGCAGAAAGTGGAGACGAAAGCAGACGACAGAACACTGCTAGAGAGCAGGTAAAGGAGGTGAAAGGAGACAATTCTTAAATTTTTCAGTCGTTACCCGGATTCAAACCCGAGACCTTTGAATGAGAGGCGAACAGCTTAATCTCTAATTAATTAAGCCATGAGAGTCCCCGAGAAAAGAATGGTCAACCTTGATATGATAATCAATCACATTGGCAAATATATATATATATATATATATATATATATATATATATAGGGGCGGCCCGGCCCCCAGGCAACTATAACATTGTCCTTCAGATATATAAAAATACATGAATTTTATCCACATCCCCCCAATATATATATATATATATATTTTTTATAGGATTTATATTGACCTATATATTATATAATCATATAGACCTAGGCCCTATACACGTGCAATGCTCGGAAATGTGAATGATCATTTACAAGCTTCGATACCCTACAAGATGCACCGCCATTATTTATTAAGCTATTCGATAACAAAATGGGGGGAGGGGGGAGGGGGGGGGGGTTCACGATCAAACTTTCCGCGTGCAGAGTTGTGACGTCAGTGAGGGGGGGGGGAGGGACGAGCTACGTATTGCCGCGTCCAATGTCGCCTACACACTACACAGAGTGGTGACCCCCTTGACATACGTATTCGTATTGCCTACTGGATCAAGTGGTGGGGGGAAGGGGCGTTAGATTCACTATTACAATGTACAGGTAAAATTATAAATTACTATTACCTGGCGTTTTGTTGCACTCCGCTGTACTTCATGGGCCTGTTGGAGAACAATCCGTCCTTGGACTTTGACGGAAATATTTAATGCACAAATTCTGCATCGCAGTACGAATAGCTCGTTGGCTGGAAGGTGGAAAGTTTGCATGACACGGCCGACCCTCTTATATATAGATCTGGCCCGACCTCCCTCGGACCCAACCAGGCTGAGCGAGTTCGTCGCCGACAACACCGACGAGTTGTGGCTGTGGGTCGCGCAGACGCAGCCAGTCAGCTCGCCCGCTTTTCTCTTGGCCAACTCTTTGCAAACCTCTCTGACTCTGAGCCTGACGAATCAGAGAGGGTTTACAGTAAAAGAGAGGTGACACCACAGATTAAGTGTAGAATTCTGTGGGTGACACTCGTGGTGGCGCTCTATAACAACAGTGTATTGTTTTGCGTATCGCGGTGCGCGAAAACCTTTACGCGCAGTAATCGCTGCCATGGCGATGCTCAGGGATGCTGTCGTGTCATGAGAAAATGTAGTCAGTCTGTAATTCGTTTACTAGGTTACTAAGCCTTAAACAAAGAAGGAATCCTGTGAATTCCAGGGGCGGCTGGTGGTTTATAGAAATGACCGGCTGTAATTCCCATCGATACCTCCCCTTCTCCCCCCACCCCTCGCCTCAGAACTTCACCCCTACAACACACAGACAGGCCGACATACAGACAGACGGACGGACGGACAGACAGACAGACAGACAGACAGACAGACAGACAGACAGACAGACAGACAGACAGACAGACAGACAGACAGACAGACGGACAGACAGACGGTCAATTTTATAATTACCAGTACACTTTAGGTATTTTGTGCGTGTGTGGGGGGGGGGTTGGATGGATAGGCGAG